TCAAAATCGATACTTTTGCGTCAGGAACAATGTTTTTGCTTTTGGAACACTTAACTTTCATATAACGTTTGAGATCAAGTGGGATCAAGTGGAATCAAGTATTCCACAAACTTTTATTAGAAGCGATTTTGACAATATCAATACTAATACGATACCATAACTATGAATTGTTTAGTTTTTAAAGCAAAATAGCTAGTAACAATAAAGTTTCTTTTTGAATAAATGTTTCAACCTTCACGTGAGCAAGATAAGATGGCTAAAAAATCAATTATTTCACAAATGCTAGAGTCCTAATCGTAATATAATTGGTCTAGTAACAAATAATAAGGCTAAAAACACTATTTGTTTGTAAATTTTTCAATGCCACGCGTGGCTCAAATAAATGTTCCCATGTTATATTTCATCGCCAAAATTTTTGAACATTTTAAATGGAATCTGAGCCTTCTAAGATAGAGGAGTCTAGTAAACTTGATATATGCGTTGATCCACATAATGGATATCCAATTACACAAGTTGTTTGTTCGCCTAACTTAAAATATGTAGCTACATTGAGTGAATTTGATAAATCTGTGGTTTTGTGGTCTATCGATTCTATCGATACAAAACAACAGAGTTTACGATATGTAAATATGATTCCGATAGAAGATATCAATGTCGAATCAGAAACTCAAAAGACATTTGCGGTTTCGGATGATGGATATGGTGCAGTAAAACGTCATAGATCAATTCCTTATAATTTTGGTGAGTTAAGTTTGAAATAGAAGTCATAGTTGTTATTTTTAAATTTAATTAGGTTTATGCTATTTAAGAAATTTACGATTTCAAGACAGGAAAAACTTTTTCGCTGCATTTCCCATATATGCATGGAAGTATTAGCCACTTGTCCTTTATTAGTGATGAAAAGCTTGTTAGTGATGAAAAGCTCGTTAATGATGAAAAACTTGTTATGATTAACACTGAAGACCATAAAGCGTATATCCTTTCACGAAAAACAGACGATGATAACAAATGGATTTTCCAATCAATAATTGAATTAAACAATTATAGTAAAAACTCTGAATTAGAAGCTGATAAGATGAAACCAAGCCCTGAACCAAAAAAACATTGTAATTCAAAAAATAAGATCTACATAACTTTTAAAGGAAAATTGGTTTTTTATAATGAATTAACTCATGAAATCACAATATGGAATTTAAAAACCTTGTTGATTGAAACACAAATTTTATTGGATTGGAGTTTCAAATTAGAGAATATTGGGTTAAGTGATGACGAAGAACTATTAGGTGTATCTGCAAACAGCTCTAAAAAAACGTATTTATACATTTTTTCTACAACAACTGGGATAAATTTATCTACATGTAAGTTTTAGTTAATATTTCAAGAATATTTAGATATTGAGTTGCTAATTAGTTTTGGTAATTGTTTGTCTATAGATACTTTTGAAAAATCAGTAATGATAGATGCAATCTATTTTATCGCCTTTAGTGCTGGTGAGCGTGTACTTATCATATCACATATGCATGATAGCTCTGAAAGAATCGAAAGAGATCTTAAGGTTCACAGATTTCATGATGAGAAGAGAACTTTCAATTATTGGTTAATGGATCCTTATACTCTACGGAATCCTATCAACGCCGATGAACTTTTTAGAAGATTAAATGCTGAGATCAATACATCATGCTTAATTAAATCGGACAATATTATTTATGTAAGTGATGACCAATTATTTATTGAGAATCTTTTAGTAATAGCAAAAGACGAAGAAATAACAACATACAAAGACAAAAAAAAAGTAACAGTAGAAGACAAAGTAACAGTAGTAGACAACTGGATTAGATATTTAAGAAATGTTTTGAATGATAATAACAAAATTTCGGTTCCCTCACATAAAGAAGACATTGAAGAGTTCATAAAAACTGTTGACAAAGAAAAAGATCTTCAAGGAAGGAATATATATGTATACGATGCCGATTGGTCTTTAATAAAATGGGAATTAGATTGTAAGAATATTATGTTTACACTTAAGGCGTACGAACTTGATCCAAAAAAATCCGGAGAATCTAAAGAATATAGGCGGATTCCAGTACATCAAGTACATCAAATACAATCCAATATGCGTGTAAAAGATTGTAAAGTTCTTAAAAATGATAATCTCACCATGATTACCGAAGAATGTGTGATTATCTGGACAGTTAACCCATTAAAAGGCATAAAAGTGCATCGCATTTGGGTTGGCAAGGATATTTCAGGAAAATTTCAGAATTCCGTTTATAATGACTCTTTTGTCAAAAGATTTCTTCCACGGGCTGATTTCGATGAAATTATCAGTAATGCTAGTATTGAATCAGATAGCGGAGTTAGTAATTTATATAGTCTTTTGTTAGAAAACTATATTGAAGAAAAATTCTATTTAGCATATTATGGAAAAATCCTCATGGAAAAATTTTTGATTTCAAATAGTAGCTGGTTGGTTGACAAATTATATAAGAGTTGTATTAAAAAGTGTTATAACGATGAAGATGACTATGTTTTACAAACAAATATTCAATTACTAAGTATTATTACTCAATTTTATTCTGATTTAATTGAACAAAATCCTACTATTCTATACGGATTTTTATCAAAGATTGCATTTTCGATTCCTTCTATGGAACGTTCTAGTAAATATTATCGTACTTTATCATCATCACCTCATCTTTACCATTATGGTTCATATGGTTATTTGTATAAAACATCACACATTAACATAGCTTTTATTATTTCTAAATATTGGCTTATTTTTAAGAATAAGCATGAAGATTTATTTACTCATATTCAAAAATGGGTTTTAAAGCCATTCACAGATTATTATAGGAGGATTAATAATATAAATCGCAATGCAACAATCATATTTTTATCTCCTTTACCTAATTTTGTTAGTTATCCAAAAGAATATAATACTTTTAAAGAGCTATTGAAACCAGTGCCTAGCTCTTTTGCAAAATCAATTGATTTAGAATTATACAAGACTTGGAATTGTGAAGCTATTTTAAATTTCAAGTGGAATACTTATGGAAAATATTACTACTTATTTATAGTGATGATTTATATGGCTTTTCTTTGTTCGTTTACTGGAGTGGCAACTTTATCAAGCCAAATTTCTTGGACTCACCAACAAACTCTTTTAGTAGTCTCCATTATATTTGGTATTTGGCATTTTATTTTCGAACTTCGTCAGTTCGTTTATTCTCCTTTACTTTATATTACTTCGCCATGGAATTTTATTGGTAACTATTCGTTTTAGCGCTAACATTTTATGTTTCTAGATAATTTTATCTTTTATTTTTTTATTGTCATAAAGATTTAGGTGCCATTTTACTCCCAACTATAACTTCATTTTTATGGCTTCGAAATCATACCGCGCCAATTTGGATGATTACTTTTTCTACATTGATGCTTGAATTAAAATTTCTCACCCATTTTCGGGCCTTTACATATACTGGTGTTTATTTTGCAATGATAGTCGGTGTAGCTAAAAGAGCCTTTTTATTTTTAATTATATTAGCCGTGATAGTATTTGCTTTTGCACATTCCTTACATATCTTGCTAAGACCTGCCGCTGATGTATCTCTTGATCAACCAAGCTATTCGAATGATCCAAATGATCCCTGGAACTTAATAACAAAATATTATACAGTAAATCCAGATGGTTCTGTTAATGAGAAACCTTCTCTTCTTGAGCTACCTAATGCAAGTACTAATATGTTTTCATCATTAACAACTGCAATTGTGGCCGTTTACATTATGCTTACGGGTAATTATCTAGAAAATATCATATCTGATATTGATTTCATAATACGTATATTAAATTTTTTAATTATAATATTTAATAGGAGATTCAACTTACTTGTCTCACTGGGTTTTAAATGACGATATAACTTTAATTATCCTAATAATTGCATTTTCTTTTTTTACAACAATTTATTTAATGAACTTGTTTATTGGATTGCTTGGTGGTGCAATAAATGAAGTAAATAACAAAGAGGATTTCCTGTTTCAAAGAGCTGAAGTAAGTTCTATTTGATATTATTTTAAACCTATTTAATCTAATGATCTCAATTTCATTAATGTCTCACAGGTTTTAACTGAGATTGAACTATTTTATATGCTACCATATCAAAGAAGAAAGTATAATTGGTTTCCGAATACAATGTTTGTATAATTTAATATTGATTAAATAATAAGTTTTAATAATGGTTATAGTAATTTTATAACGTTATGTATTTAAATAGTTTTTATGAAGTACATCTACACAAACTTCGTGGCGCAATTAGAGAGATTCACGACGAGAAATGGATTAGTGTAGAAAAACCTTATGTTTCTTCTTTACTTTTAAAAGTTAGTCATATTGAGGATGAATCGGAAATCAAATTAGAAGATTTAACTAGTTTGTTTAATAATTTCAAAAAAGAAATTATGGATGAAATGAAATCTCTGGCTTCAAAAGACGAGTTAAATATAAGTTAGGCTGAAATTCTACTTTTTATGTAAATTTTTAAAACCTTATTTGAATATAAAATTTCAGCTAAATTATGAAGATATTAATTTGAATGACACATTCTAGAAATTTAGTTTATTTGCTTTATGGCCCAATTGTTTTGCAGCTCATTTTCCAATAACACATTTCTCTAACAGTCATTTTGCAACGTCTCTGGTATAACTAGGGATATTAATTAATTTGAATGGATGCACACTGACTCAGTTCGGGACTCGTTATAGTTATTATCGTACGGGTCTGATGTAGAGTAGCGATCCGTAGCCTTAAAATCCTAGCTATCCGTATAATCTTCCGATCCTATGCGGATTTATAAATAAACTATCCGTAAATTAATTATACTCGGATAGACTTTGATTATCCGTCAGATATCCGGTTATCTGTTTTAAATTAATTAGTGATGATATAAATAATGATCATTATTATTTTTATTTATTTATTTATTTATTTTTTTTTATTTCTAATACTTTTGTTAAAAAATGTCTACTTCTAATAAAAGACGAAATATATCTGATTCTAACATTCCTGACTCTAATATTTCTGATTCTAACGAATCTTCTGAAGAAGAAATTGTTCATTTGGATTTATCAGGAAAGATTAGTTGGGTGTGGACATTTTTTTGACAAGAACTTTGTAAAAAAAAAGGCAAATGGACGAAATATTCAATATGCAAAATCGAAGTATCAAATGGTAAAGAATGTGGGAGAGAATACAGAGCCGGTTCTTTAACTGGTAATCTTATTGGACATTTAAGTGCTGAACATGGTGTAACAAAAACTGATTAAATTCCCATAATGGTATATTAATATATATCAAATATATATATACTGTATTAATATTAATTTTAATAATATTAATGTTAACACAATTAATTTGATAAAATTTAGATAAAATCTATTCGTCCTCATGATGAAAAACGACAAAAGGAATTACAACAATTACTTGTTACTTGGCTCATAGCAGATTCACGTCCTTTAATTATTGTTCAAAGTGAATTTTTTCATCGATTTATAAATGAGCTTGATCTAGCATTTCTAATTCCTGATATTAAATTAATTAAGCAAATTATTCACCAAGCTTATAATTATTCAATTCCTATTTTACGAGAATTTATTCAACAAAATTCACTTAAAGTCTCACTTACAATGGATTTATAAACAGCCAAAAATCGTCAAGGCTATATTGGAATTACATGCTCATACATTGATTGTCAATTTAAATGAAAGAAAATTACTCTTACAATTCAATATGTTCATTATCCTCATACAGCTGATCATATCTGTGAGACAGTAGAAGAAATTCTTAAATATTGGAATCTTTATGGAAAAGTATATTCTATAACTACTGATAGTGGTTCGAATATAAAAAAAGCTGTAATAAAAATGGAGTTATAGTTGGGAGTAAAATGGCACCTAAATCTTTATGACAATAAAAAAATAAAAGATAAAATTATCTAGAAACAT